GCGAGAGCCCCGGCGCCTGTGCGAGAGCGCAGCTTTGAGAACGGGACAGCCGGCTCGGGTCCTGAGAGAGGGAGCCAGGGTTCCCAGCGCCCCTCCAGCCCCTGTTCAATCCTCCTGTGAGTCCACCATTCTAGAGCCGCCAAAGCCAGTCAGACAAGGCAGCCTCTGTCTGCCCAGAGCTCCAGACACCTAGACCCAAATGTGAGCAAGACCCAGAGGGGTCTCTGTCTGCCCAGAGCATCCAGACACCTAGACCCAAATGTGGTCAAGACCCAGAGGGGTCTCTGTCTGCCCAGAGCATCCAAACACCTAGACCCAAATGTGGCCAAGACCCGGAGGGGCCTTGACTGTGCCCCACCCCGTGCTGCCACATTTGCCCTGGGTGCTGAGCAGAAGCGCCGCTGAGGAAGGCAATTATCTGTTCTCTCCCCAGGTGATCCTAGAGCCTAGCATGGTGCTGGGAGATGCCGGCCCTCCAGGACACCTGCTGATCGAGGCAGTGGGCATTCGATGGCGCCGTCCCAGAGTTCTTTTTCTGTCCACTTGCTAACAACACCCAGCGTTTCCCTCAGGTATCCACCTCGGCTCATGGCCCCACCCACAAGTCTAGACTGGGGCTTTGGCGGCTTAGCTAAATCTAGACATTCCACACCTCGGCCCTGATCGTTAGTTTGGAGGTAGCATGTGAACTAGGCCTAGCCAATCAGAACAAATCTCAGGACTTTTCTGGGATGTTGAGACAGAAACCTCAGCTTTGGGACTGTGCAGTGTGTAGGCAGGAAACCTAGAATCACGAAGCCACTGTGAACTAGCTGCCAGAAGAGAAGCTAGCTCAGGGACAAAGCCAACACACAGAGAAGGGCCAAGAGAGAAGTGCAGGGAAAGAGAGCGCTCTGATCATGCCATTCCTGACACTGTCCTTCCCTTAACTTCCAGTAAGGTATTCCGGGAGGAATAAATCCTGTTTGTTTTATAGGGTGGTTGAAATTTCACTATTGTTTGATGTTCACATGTTAAGAGTTCTGACACAGGCACATCAGAGAATGGGAAGGACAAGAGAGAAAAGAGAAAGGAAGGGAGAGGGAAGCTAACAGAGGGAAGGAAGGAGAAAAAGGAAAAGGACAAAAACGGAGGCAGAAAATAAGAGAATCACGGAGCAGTCTGGGGCATATGGGCTGGTGTATGCATCTGTCACGAGACAAGTGACCCAAGCTCTGAAGTGGCTTTCCCAGGCCACACCACTGGTGCACACCAGCATGGGCGCCCGGGGCCGCGCCGGCCACTCCCCGCCCGCCCTCGAGTCCTGAGTATGCGGAAGCGGCTTCCATGACTAAAGCGGTTCTCGCTCATCACAGAAAGTGTGGGATGTGCACAGAAGCAGGAAAAAGCCGTGATTTCACCATCCAGCACAACCACTACCAACATTTTACCAACTTTCCTGTCAGTTGTCTGTCTATATTTAAGGGTAATTTTTAGAGATGTAAACACGCTTTGTACATAATTTTATTCCCTGATTTTTTTCTCATAACATTATTTCATAATCATCCCCTCATCTGTATGTTCTTCAGAAACATCATTTTTATGACACTATAATATTCAATCAAGTAGATATTGCCTAATTTACTTAATCCTTTTCCTACCACTGGACATATCATTGTTCCTAATTTTTGAACATTTCTTTTCAAAACAGTCCAAGGAAAATTTCCTTGCATAAAACTTTTCTTGTTTAAGATTATTTACTTGGAACAGATTCCCAGAAGTGAAATCTTAGGGTCAAAGGGTAGGAATTAGTGTCGCCACATTTAGCACCGAAAAATGTAGAATGTTCAGTCAAATCTTAGTTTCAAATTGCTTGTTGTCATCTGAAATTTAAATTTAAGTGAGCATGCTGTATTTCACCTGGCAGCCCTGGTCGGAATACTTTAAAGGTTTCTGGCGTCTTTCCAATGCCTTTTCTGCTCTAAAGCATTTCCTTGGGCTGGAGAAGAGGGGGCACAGAGAGCAGTAGCTGACGTTCTGCCTCGCTCGGGCGCTGTCTTTGACACAGCCTCCGACGCAGGGGGCTATTTTCAGCCCTACATTGCAGATAAGGAAGCTGAGGTAGTGCGGTCAAGTGAAACGTCCAGGACCGGCGTGTGGACCTAGGATCTGCCCGGGCCGCCTGACTGCCACCGCCCGAGGAGCCGAGGAGGCCGGCCTCCCGGGAGAGCAGGCTGCCGTGGGCATCTTGTGGGTCCACCTCAGAGTCAAACTCAACCACTGGAGCGGCCTTGCCCACCTCCACAGACCCGGAATCTTCGCCACGCCTTTACGGGATATTTTGCGGAAGGACAAGGCGGAGAATTTGCACTACACGTAATGGAAGCCATTTCATCAAGTTAATTTGGAAACTGGTCCGTTCTTTCCCAAGTCCACTTCCAGCTGCCAGCCGGGCCGCCTTCTCCCGTCCCCGCCTCTTCATCCCCTGGCCTCGCTCCCTTTCCTTCTGGGACCCCCTTCTCCCCACTGCCTTCTCGAGCCGGGAAAACGCGGAGCTCCTTCATCTTGGTCATTTTCGTCCTCACGCGCATCGCTCCCCCGGCAAACAGCCCTCCCACCTGCACCTGGAAAGGAGAGCTTATGCGGACCAAGTAGTGGCGGATCTAGTTCAGACAGTAAGGGGTTTTATTCCTCCTTTCTACCTCTCTCCCGTGCTCTCTGCCTGTCTCCCTGCCTCCCTGCCTCCCTGCCTAACGTGACACATAACAAGCAAAGGGTCGGAGCGGGCCCCGGGTCAGTGTCTCTGCACAATACCAGGCCTTCCTCAGCCCAGGAGGGGCCCGGGCAAGTGGGAGAGACATCCCATCGGCTGCAGGCCAACAGGGAGAGCGAGGGCTCCCGAGGCCTCAGACAAAGGGCTCCGAGGGCCGAGGAGGACAGCACCCAGCTTGGGTATCCGGAAGGCGTGTGACCCCGGGGCCGCTTAGCTGGGCCCTGAAGGACCGAGAGGCGTCGCCCATCTGGAGACGGGTGGCACTGGGGAGGCTGCCCTCTCCAGCAAGGACGTTCTGAAGACACCGTCCGGGGAGAGAAAGCTGGGCGTGAGTCTGAAGGGTGTGAAGTTCTCTGCCACCCCCTCCCCGTATTTATCAGGACCCCCTGTTGGTTGATGGCCAAAGGGTCAGGGGTGGAGGGGGCGCTGACCTCTGGGGCCTCCATTTGCGGAGCGTACGTGCACGGTCAGCGCCCACTCCGTGGCTGGGACGGGTCTCAAACGGCTCACGAAGCGCAGCTGACGTCTTCAAACTGCTCGGAACAACGCGTCAATCAGCACAAGGCTGAAATAATTAGTTCCCTCTGCTAGGAAAACAGTGTCCTTTAATTACTGTACTGGTTGCAGGAGAGGGTTCTGAAGACAACAAAGAGGCCTCTAAGGGCCGGGTCTACCTGCATATACGGGAAATAATCTAATTAAAACAAAGAAAAACATTACTATTTAATGGTGTGATGTTCCCCACATCCTTTTCTCTTCTAGACCTAACCCAGTGACAGCACCGAAAATTCCCCCAGAATCAACACCCAAAACCCCGAGAGATGAAGCTGTCAGAGCGCAGCTGTAGCGGACAGCTCGATGCCAGCTCCCGGAGCTGCGGAGCCGAGCCCCCGCCGGGCCTCCTCCCTCACCCAGCCTGTCCCTGCCTCCACCTGCCTCGGCGACATCTGACTCCGCCTCCAACACGGCCGGCCCCCCGGGAGCGTGTTCCTGCGGTCGGTCCCAGTGACCCCGTGTGCAGAGCCTGGGCGCCTGCATGGAGAGCGGGAGTGGTGCCGCCGGCTGCCAGGGAACCAATGAGATGATGTGAGTAAATCCTTGGCAGAGGACCTGGCAAAGGGTGGGCACTCAACAAACATGACTTAGCGTCTTGTTACTCCAGCAGACGGGGAGACCAGGGTCCCAGAGTGCAGGAGACGGGTGACTTTTCTGGGGTCACACACAAGTTGGTGGCAGAGCCGGCCCGTGGTTATTCCTCCCGGTATTCTGACTTGCCTCCGTGTCTTGGCCTCCCATGTTGGCCATCTTCTCCACTGCTGGGAGAATGGTCCTTGCTGTCTGGACCCTGTGCTCATCACCTATGGCTGAACCAGTGCCCATGGCCCCCCCTCTGGACCCACTGTCATCTTATTCTTGAATGGATGTGTCCTTCTATATCTGCTATGTTACTTTTGATTCCAAGAGACAGACAGTTCAAACAAACTGACTTAAAGAGAAAGGGGATTTTATCACTGAAATAACCAGGGACAGGGTTTCAGGCATAGTTGGATCTAGGCACTGGACTGTCATCAGAACTTGGCTTTTTCCTCTGGGCTCGTCTGTCATGCAGACTTGATTCTCAGATAAGTTGTCCTCTAGGGGCTGCAAGATGGTTACTGAAGCTCTTGCCTCCCCTCTAAGCCCATTCAAAGTGAGTTTTCCCCACATGGCTCCCAGAAATTCTCACCACAGCCCATTGGCTCTGGCAGAATGAGTCATGTGCCCATCCGTGAACCAATCACTGTGTCTGGGGTAAGAAGAAAGACTTACAGGGCTGGGTCCTCGGGTTCCTCTGAGTGCCACTGATGCCTCTGCCCTCAGGTCACCCAGGAAGAGGAAGATGTGGCTTCTTCAGTGGGTTTTTTAGCCAGAACGACGTTCCACTGATAAACTCCATGTAGGGTCCTGGAATTTGAATTCGTTGTCAGCATGAAATGTCTGCGGAGTTCCCGCGAGCATTCAGGCTCCTGGCTCCCTTGGCAGAATCAGGTCGCTGGCCACACGGGCGTGCCCCGGCTCTGCCCCGGCCAGTCCTCTCCGTCAGCCACAGAGCCTGCCAGCTCCCTTCTCTCACTCACGCCAGCTGAGTCTGCAGCCCTGGCGCCAGTCAGCGCAGGGGTCCCAGCGCCCCCTCCGTTTAAAGCACCGTTCACACCCGCAGCCCCAGGAGTGCGGCTTCTTCCGCCTTAGACGCTGGCGCAGTGGGCCGGGCATGCCGCCAGGCAGGGTCACGGGCCCGTTTTGCAGAGAAGGAAGTTCAGGGATAATGAGGCAGAAACAAGTGTTAACCTGAGTGCACAGGTAAGGAGTGGCCGGGGCAGGGCGGGCTGTGCTGGATCCTGTCGCTGTGCCCCAGGGTGGGGCAACTCAGCCCCTGACCCGTGAAGTCCAGAGGAAGAGGAATACCAAGGAAGAGGAGCGCTTTCTTTCCCTCTCCACGGCCCCATCTCCCTGTGTGGGGGAGGACGGGAGGCTTGAGCAGGACCGGGCAGCGGACCAGGCCTGTGGTCTGCTGGGTGGTTGTCACCTTACGCCCCCCTCAACCCTTCCCTGCTCCCCGGCTCCTCTTGGAAGCAAGCTCTCAGAGTGGGGTGTCTGCCTGCCTCTTGCTGGGACCCATGGGGGTCATCCTTGTCAGCAGGCCCGATCAGAACACAGCAGTGGCTCATTCAGAAACTTCTCTCCTGTCTCTCTTATGGGAGAGAGGAAGGAAAGGAGGGGGAGGAGCGTGGAAAGGAGACTGGGCCACAGATCCTACGAGTTAGGCTCCCATGTACACCCCAAAGCTGACACTTCTCTCTGCCTCCTCTGCCCTCAGCCCAGACCAGCCATCCTCCCCCCTGGCCGGCTGCTCCTTCTTCTCTCCTGGGCCCCCAGCGGCCACTCTCACCCTGCCACACCTCGCTTACAATCTGCCCATGGCTTCCTACTTAACGGGGATCCAATTCAAACTCTTGGCTGAGCCAGAAAAAGCCGTTAGTGATGTTTCTTCCTCCCATGGGACTGCGTCTCGGCCCCTCTCCCACTCAGGACCGGACACTGAGGGTGTCTCACCCATCCCACCTTAGCTCCGACCGGGGTCTGTGCCGCACTCGACCCGCGATGCCCAGCCTCGCACTGTGCCTGCCACACGGTGGGGGCCGCATGGCTGAATGAATGAGTGAGTGAACGAGTGGCCACGGTCTCGCCATGGTCTCACCACAGTCCGAGCAGCCAGAACTTGTTTTTATCAGTAGTTCAAGACAACTATTTGCAAATCCCTACAGACTTCATTTAAAAACGTAGCTGGAGTACAAGAATGGCACAAGGAACACGGGGAAAATTGGCATTATTCCACAGTTTATTTAATTCGCTCCCCCTGCTGGCATTAATTTAACTCGTCTGCATGGCTGAAGGAAGGACCGAGATGAAATATTAACCTCAAAGGCGCGCTGGGACAGATAACGGAGCGGCGCCTGCGAGCGCGAGCGGGCAGATGAAAGAGGAAGGCGCTGCCGCGGCCCCAGGAAGATTAAGGCGGCGTGCGGGGTAACAGGAGCCTTTTTCTAATGGTTCATTTTCTTTCTCTTTAGTCCAAAGTGATAAAAGCAAATAAATTTGTGTTTAGAATCACAAGCATAGTACAAGGCTATTATATAAAGATATTATCTTCCTGGTGAACTTCGTCAGAAGTTCTTAATGTCGAAAGCGTGCAAAGTGGATTAAAGCATCACAGGCAAGCAGCAGAGATGGTCAAAATGACAGAATGTTATTAACCCTGTATGCCTATCCCTCAGTTGTCACCGCCACACCAGCCCGCGCGGTGCTGTCTCCACCCAGAGCCGAAGGGTGGAGGCACCACTTAGCAGAGCCCCAAACGCCTCCCACTCCGGCCGGCCTCCCGCGTGACCCGAGTCCAGTCCTCGAGTCTAAAGGGACAGAGACAGGCAGCCCTTCTGCCTGGAGGACACGGCGCTGGAATTCCCTCCCGGGTCCTCGGGGCCAAGGAAGGGCAGGGTGCAAGGCCAGCTGCCACCTTCCACAGGCGCCACTGCTCCTGTCCCCGGGAGGCAGCAGGACGCAGGAGGCCCTCAGCCTGCTGGCTCTCTGGCTGAGGGCAGCAGCTGCTGGCCATGGGGCGTCCTCTGTGTCCCACTCTGTCCTGAGCTGTAGCCACATTCTCCAAGTTAAGCCTCGTAGCAGCCCCTGAGGAGGGGCTATCGTCCTCTCCCTTTTCCAGATGAGGAAACCAAGGCTCAGAGGCCACGCCACCTGCCAGGGTCCTGCAGGAGGCCCGCAATGATGCCAGGCTGGAGCCCAGCTCCACCCAGCTTTCCTCTACTGTGCGCTGCTCAGGTGGCCAGTCGGTGTGGACACGGCGGGAGGAAACACTCTTCAAGGCAGGTGCCGAGGGGACAAGAGGGCGCAGAGTGGTCGTTCCAAGTGTGTGAAGGAGCTCAGCCATGCCTGCATTTGCATGCAGTCTCCAGAAAGCTTCATGGGTAGTGACAGCAGCTGCTTCTCGGGGCAGCTGGGGACGGAGTCAGGGAGGGGCAGGAAGCTACATTTCACTGTCCGCCCTTTTGTGTATTTGCATTTATTATCGTGTGTGCATAGATTTAGAAAATAGATGTTAAGCCTGTGAAAAATAGCCTAGCCAGAAGAAAGAAAAGCAAGCTGTACGAGTCCTCAGAGGTCCTGGGTACCCTCACTGTGATGGGCAGAGAGCCCTTCGGAGTGCTGCCTGGGCATTTCACAGCACAACGCCCCTGCTTACGCCAGCCTGGGCTTGGCAAGAAGGACCCGAGCTCAGCATCCCCACCCTGCTCTTCCCGGGCACCTGGTAAGATGACCACTCAGAACTGAGCCTGAGAACAATTAGTGACCACCACCCCCAACCACCTTGTACGTAGTAGGCACTGCTACTCTGCTATCCATCTCCTGCTCACTCGTGACCTGAGACGAAGTGTCACCGGGTAGGGTACTCTCCC